CTCGGCCTTTGCAGATGTGGCCCTGACCCATTCCCTTCCCGGACAAGGGGAAATAAGAGAGACACACGGAATTCTCCTTGGGAGCATTTGCAAAAGCAAGATTCATGCTATTTGTTTGCCTTTAGCGTAGTTGCTGGCCCTCAGACTCTCTGCCAGAGAAGCCAAAAGCCTTTTTTGCTGGCTGAAGCCTCTCGTTTTTACATAATTGAGCAACCAGCCACCATATAGTCTTTGCTCTGTGTCAGGCGTGGCCCTTTAATCCTCACATTAACCCTATGAGGCCTACAGATTGCAGTTAACAAGCATGGAGTCAGCAAATCACCACAATGTATACTTTAAATGTCTGACAATTTTTATGTGTCAATTAGACCTCAGTAAAACAGAAATTAAAAAAAGAAAAAAAAAAAGAAGTGGCAGAGTCAAGATTGGAAGGGCAAACCTGTGCGCCTTACCATTAGCTACTGCCTCTCTAGGAGCCACGGACCAGGGAGATTTTGTGATTTTCCCAAAGCCAGCAGCTGGTCAGGCTGAAGTTTCATGAGAAGCTGGTTTTCTAATAGGTGCTCTTTCTTCTTCTCTGTAAAATAACATGCTTGCCCCCTCAGCCCCGCCCCTTAGCCCCTCCTCCCTAACTATGTGAGAGCCTGTGCTAGTCTGTCTATACCAGAGCCCATAAACACTACCCTTTCCTCAGTCGCCCCGTTTATGATAGCCAGCACTTGGAAGATGCAGTCCCCTTTTCCCAGGGTCATAAAAAAATAAAAATAAAAAAAAAAATTAGATGTTTTCTTTGGAGCAAGGAGATCCTTGTTACTTTTGCTGCTAGATGGCCGATGTTTCTCCAGGTCATAAAAATGTCTCTGCACTTAAAAACAACAGGCCTGGCCTGGTGTGTCTACAGTGAGGAGCAGCCCAGAGTTCTCGCCTCCCACATCAAGTGTCAGATATCCCGAGGCAGGAGGAAATGGTTCTTTAAGAGCTTTCTCTCCACACGTTTCCCATGGAGAAATTAATGCCCCCCTCTCCCACCCCTCAGTGAAAACAATACTTAGAATGGAAAGTACACTTGATATCAAACAACAATAACAATGGCCAGAGAAGCGCATCCAAGGTCTCTTCTACTGGCCTGACTTGAATCCCAGCCTTTTCCTCCTCCCGGATGCATCCTCTGTGGCTGCTCCAGGAGAGAGTATTTCCTTTTCTCCCTTTGTGTGAAGTGGACATCCACTTTGCCCACGCAAACGCTCCCCGGTGGGAAACAAACACATCAAACACAAACCAACAAAAGCAAAATTGACCTGGATGTGTGGAGGCTGGGAAGACGTTCGTGCCACAGCCCTCCACGGTGTCCTTAGGGAGCAGCCGCTGCCGGAGTTTTGGGTGTCATGCTGAGGAAGATAGCAGGGACACGCGGGCTGACTCATGGAGATCATATGACCAGGAGCAGCTTGGCTTTCATGGTCTCTTGTGCCTCGGAGGAAGCAGCCTGCCTTCAGTCAGATGGTGTGAGAAAGCTTTATTCAAAGTTTGCAGTTATCCAGAAAGAGGGTGGGATGTGCCTGCTGGAAAGACATCAATCAATGAAAAGGCGGAGTGGTGTCTGGCAGTCGCGTCGTCGTCGTCTCAGGACTGTGTTCTAACCTGATTGAGATTTGGGAACCTCAGGTGGTGCCTTCTGGCTAATTTTCTGATAGACTGAAAGTTCTGTTGCAGAGGTAACCATTTTAGAAACGGGATGAGGAGGAGGCATTAGGCAAAGGGCAGGACTACGTTCAGGGGAGTCATTGCCAAGAGAGACTGATGCATTGTCAGAAGGACCTTCCTACTTTGGGGGTGTGTGTGTCTTGGTAGGTAGTGAACTCCCTGTGACCAGAGGAGTTTAAGCCGGAGTTAGATAGTTCTTTGGGGTAGCGTTGTAGGTGAGTTTTCATTTACTGGGGAGGAACTGCAGTCCAGAGATTCTGTAACTGAGTTAGAAAAGTTAAACCCATGGACAAATTAGTATTTAGAAATTTAAGATATTATTTTTTCACTCACTGATTTCCTCTGGAATAAAGGACAATAAGCACATATATATCCCTAGATAGTCAAATGTACTGAGGAGATATTCATGCATTTACATAGGTTTTTATATCAAGAAGAAAATATTTATTTGTTCACCAAACAGATATTTATTTGATACCTATTATAAACAAGACATTTCCTTTAGGAACTTAGGGTCTTCAGGGTGAAAGAGCCAACATTTCTGAAAATAGCTGTTACCCACCAGGCTGCTGCTAGTGGTTTTCATAAAGGGCAATGGAAGAGCTATAGCATAACAGGGATAAATGATGACTTCTGACTTCTGTATCTGGGAAGGCTTCCCAAAGGGAGCGGGATTTGAGCTTTTTGAAAAGAATTTGATGGGTAGTTACTGGAGAAAGGATGCTTTTTTCTTTCTGAAACCCAATTCCTAGGATCCCCACATTCCTAGGATTACCTGGGCCGCAGTTTTGCAGGATTTGGAGTTTCTTTCCTGGTGGTGGGGAGTTTGGAGGAGTAGCATGGTCAGAGAGCACACTGATAGTATGGAGGATATATGAGAGGAGTCGTTCAGAAAAAGGACCTTGGGAGAGGCTGATGCAATAGTCCAGGCTAGGACATTAACTGGACAAGGACAATGGGAAGTAAAGAATGGATGCAAGATAAATAATGGAGGAACAACTCATGGCCAGACTGTGCTGTTTTGGCAATAAAAGCAGGACGAGAGGAAGGAGAAACAGGGGACTGAGCATCTGGCTGTTACTACTCTCCTCTCCCCAAAAAAGTCTGGGCCATCTTGGGCTGCCAGGGAAATGACCAAACTGCCTTCTCCAGCCAGCCAGCGCCTCAGGCTTCCAGAAAGCTCTCTTGCGCCATCTGGTAGAGGATATCTCCACGAAGCCTTTGTCTGGGAGAATCTCACCCACTCATTCATGAATCATGGGCATTTGAGCTCTGTGGGACTCTCCTGCTGCTCACAACGCCCTGGCTCCCTGTTTCTGACTATGTTATACTGCCAGGCTCAGGGTATTCTTCAATGACTCAAGCCCGGGATTTCCACCACTTCCTTTGCTGGAGAAGTAGGTTTTTGGTTACTCTGTTTTGTTGTATTGTTCCCAATGATTGTACCACAGATCACCCGTAAAGAAATACTTCTCTCCCCCAGACTCCGGTGGCAGCTTAATAAGCACACAGACAACCTGGCAGGAAGAAGTTATCGGACCCGGAGCTTAGCAAACATGAAGCCAAATGACCAACATTTTTAGGAATCCATTATCTTAAAGTCTCTGTAGTATTAGTTTCTCGTTAAAAAAGAAAAGGTGTCCACAAGGGTCTGATAAATTTCTCAAAGTCCGAGGACCTTAAAAGTGTTAGTTTTCCCAAACAAAGGCAAAAAGGCAATCGATGCAAGGCAGTCTCAAAGCTATGTTCCTTCAATTCTTTCATTTGTGGGGAGGAAGGTATTAAGAGGGAGCCGAGAAACCAACCATCACTTAAGTGGATGCTTTTGGCAGCTCCAGGGCAATTATCCCCCTGCCCACAGGAGGTCATCATTCACAGCCTCCATCACCAGCAATTGTAATCCTCAGGGCCATTTCTAGGAGCTGCAGTACATTTTCTATTAGTCAAGAACTTAACCTACATCTACAATGGTTGTGAGGCTTGCATCTGGGACAGGTGCATAAAGAGACAGCTTCTCTAATGTGGCGTAGGCATTGTGGGGAGGAAAGAAGAAGCATGGTCAGAAACAACAAATGGTGGTGGTGGAAAGGGAATTGGCAGATTTGTGCCTTAGGGCAGAAAGAAGAATCTAGGAGGGATAACAGAGAACCCATGTGTGGCTGTTAGTCTCTTACCTCCATTTCTCTTAGCAATCACTTCTCTCTAGAGTTAACATTCATGCCTCCTATATTTTTCTCAGCTTTCCACCCAGCCCCATAGAGCTTTGGTCAACCTGTGTTGGGCATGTTGGGTTGGTGAGGGTGTAGGGGGAGATCTTCCTCTGCTTACAGTGGTGGGTGGAGAAATGTGTTCCTGGAACCCCACATAGTATAGTCAGTGGATGTCCCATGCTTTAAGGACACTGTGCATTGACTAGCTCTGGTGGCCTGTATCTGAGAGTCTAAGCACCACAAATAACCCTATTGTTATGGGAGTTTCCAACAACCAAATGACAAACTTTGGGATTGCCCAGTGTACCAAAGGTTGGGAGAGAGGCAGGCATTGCACCCAAGTAGTCAGAATTGTAATGTTGTTATTGCCTGCTTCCTGGTTTGAGCTGATCAGCTATGACTCGGGGTATGCTTTGCATTGGAGAGTGCTACCCATGGCATTTTAGAGAAGTGTGAGGGAGAAGTCAATTATTATTTTAGTGGAACATACTGCCAAAAGCAACCAATACTTCCAGTGATACCAATGCTCAGAAATGGTCTCTTTTTAGTGCTATCAAGCAAGATATACACCAGGGCAGGAAATGAATCTCCCTGGAAGCTACCCTGCAAGTGATGGATGTGTAGAAGTCGAGAGAATGAGATCTGCTCTTATTTAAACCCATCTGCTCTGCTCTTTGTTAGATCCCCAGACAACTATGGGTCCACATTCACCCATTAGGTGCCACTCATCCTTAAAGATCTTGGGTGGTTGTTTCCCACCCAAGTTCCTTAGGCTGGAGATTTCTCTGCTGGGGGTTATCATTATAGGGACTGAATAACGAGGAATGATCCAGGCCAGAAATTTAAAGATTCAGTTCATTCTCTTTCCATATGTGTTGGGAGGGCCACTGAAAACAATGGAAGCCCTTCTACACTGATAATGGATGACACTAAAAAACCTGACAAATTTGGGGCAGTGAAAAGATGAAGTTATAGGTATAAAGTGATAACTCTACTAAACAGCCAGTACCTCTGGCTGTATCCAGAGGCCAACAGCAGAGAAAATTGTGTGTTCTGCACACTAAGGACACTTGCCATTCCAAGACAATGTGCTCCTTTTCTCGGTGAGTGGATGGAACACAATCACAGAAATCTAAGATGAAAGAGAGTCACTTCTTTGCTTGATTTCATCCCCATCCTCTCTTCCCCCATCCTCTCTCTTCACCTCCCCTCCCCCAACCTTTCCTCTTGTCTGACTGGGCAGGAGACAATGATCAGATGGGGCTGTGGGTTATATCAGAAATGAGATGTGCAGGCCAAGAACTTGAGTGCCCCGGAGGTGTGTGGATGGGCCAAGGTGAGGGGGCAGGGGGAGGAAGATATTTGGAATGCAATGATGTTCAAGTCATCAAAATGGAGGGTGTGGCCAGGCATAAATCAGGCAGACAGAAAATGCTGTTGAGTCCCCAAAGACATGGAAGGCTGAGAAGAATGAACTTTCTCCTCTTCATTCCTGAGGGTGTGTTTTAAGTGGTCTCTCCCACTCAAGCAGCAAGGATTAGTCATAATGGCAACTTGCAAGAGAACCAGAATGAATACACATACACGCCCTTGTGACCTGGATGGCAGATATCCTAATACTTGCACTTAACATGGGGCAGCCTGGTGACTGATTGATTGGTTTGGATTGGCAACAGCTACTCCAGTTTCATATAATAATAATAATAGTCATAACCACAAGCAGAGCAACCCCTTTGGTACCTGCCATGTGCCAAGCACAGTGCTAGGAGCTTCACATATTGTAGTCCAACTTAATCCTCAGATTTCCCTGATGCAATCCTCCACTTCATATAGGGGAAAACTGAGACCAAAAGGTCAAGTAACTTTATACAATTCTAACTCAACCTCTGTCTAACTCCAAAACCCCTTTTCACGGTGCATTAAAGCCAAGCCAAGAAGGTTGTGGAGGTGTGTAAGAAGAGCCTGAGAAAAGTAAAAATGGATTTGAAGACCTGCAGAGAGTATTCATAGTTCTCCCCTGAGGTGACAGGAAAAACTTCATCATTTTTGTCACCCACAGTGAAATTGGACAAATTCCTATGAAATAGCCTGGGTGGAAGGGAAGTGCTTGGATGGAGAAGAAGGGCGGGCTTGTTGGAGCAAGTATGGAAGATTCTGCCTCTCATGATTGGCCTGTAAAGAGCAAAGCACTCCAGTGTTTCCTGAGCAGAGATAAAAGGCACCTGAAGTGCTGGGATTAGTGCTCTTCAATAAATACCTGCTACAGTAGGAAAGTTGCTTGAGCCCACTCAACACTTCAATTAAATGAGGCGGAATGAGAGAGAGCGTTGGGCTGATTGCAGGACGTGCAGAGCCCCCTAGGTGGGGAAGTCCACATGCCCCACCCTGCTAGGGTCTGAATAAGCCCAGCCCTTTGCTTTGAAGTCCCTGGGGGCATGCACTGCATGGGCACAGCACTGCATGACACAGCACTCCTGCAGCGGACATAAACCAGAATAGCCTCCCACTGGCATCCTTCACACTGCCTTTAGGTCCTGGGTTTTACGATCCACGGGCTCTCTTTTTCTACACTGCTAGATTATTGGCTGAATACTTTTGTTTATCCACGCATATTCTTAATCTATATTAGTTCCCAATTCTCCCGCCATGTGATTCATGCATTTGCCTGCCTTCTAGAATCTGTATAAATGTCACGTATGCTTAGAAGGCACATTTGGTGATATTCCCAGCTGCCTGCTTCTAGAGCCCCCAAAATGGTCATATTGAGTGGTGGGAGATATAACACGGCTCCCAGGCCAATAGCAGGCTCCCCACCATGGGGCACACACAGCCCACAGGCTCAGGTGCAATGACACAAGTCTGCAATGGTCAATCTGTAGGTGGTCAGACCATTAAACTGCAATTCCGTTGTTATAATTGTCGAATACCAAACAGCATGCTGATAATAGAAGTTGTGGCTCTCACATTTTATATCTCACCTGGGATCAAATTAGTCACCTCTTCCTTCTGTGGAATCCAAGTAATAGCTGCTGTTCCGTGGGACGCATCCATTTCTATGACAATTTCTGAATGCACAGCTTGACAGAGGCAAGGACACTGCCCTAGTGGAAAATGGAAATTTATATGACACTGCTACACTGAAAGTTACAGTTGTCAGGAGGCCTTTAAAAGATCCAAGTCCTAGTTTGGCCTCGATCTGGGGGAGATAATAGATCAAACGAAGGACTTGTATACATGCATATAAGTACAACCAATGTTCATAAAACTCTGGGGAGGGAGGGGATGGGTGGGAGGGAGGGAGGGGGGTAAAAAAATCAATAAAATATGTAAAAAAAAATCAATAAAATATGAAAAAAAATGTAAAAAAAATAAAATAAAACACAAACAAAATAAAGTAGTAACAGTTACAAAATGTCTTTTTTAAAAACAACAGGCTGTTTTGGAGAGATGGGTATATCAGTACCCGAGATGCAGAATTGTGTTTATATATAGGTATATGTCAATAGATCAATAGGCACTTAAGGAACCAGGCTAACTAAGTGTTTTTAGGAATTTCTGATGAAATTGTGACGGTTTTTATTGCAGCACCTTCAGATTATATCGGATAGCCCACAGGTGTGGGAGAGCTGAATATCTTTTTGCCTCTGACAGTGGTAACCTTTTGTTTCCCTCTTGTTTTCTCCTTTCTTCTCAGGACTCCAAACTCACCAAATCATCAAAAAGCCAAGATGTTGGTATTACTGGCTGGCATCTTTGTGGTCCACATCGCCACCGTCATTATGTTATTTGTTTCCACCATTGCCAATGTGAGTAATGCTCTTTTGTTTATTCATTCATTCACTCATTCATTCATTCAGGAGTTATTTAAATATTTACATAAAGTGCTACAAAGAAAGTTTAAGCCACAATCCTTGCCCTTCATGAATTTTCAGTTTAGGTGTGGAAACATACACACACACACACACACACACACACACACACACATACACACACACACACACTCTTTCTCTCTCACACTTCAAATAACTAAATAACGGAGGATAAAAGTCATCAGTGTTTGCATGAGACTAGAGGCAGGAGAACTCAATGAGGTTTCTTCAATCTCTACAGGAGTCTTCCCAGCTGAGATGAAGCTTGTAGGAGTGCTAGGTGGCTGGGCTTTCTCTTGGCACAAGAGGGAATAATGGGAGGAGCATAGGGATACATTCCAGGCAGGGTGCCCAGGTGGGAGGGACTGACTTCCTTCTGGGCATAATGAAGACACCTATGTCAGGGACAGAACTTCCCTTCCTTCTGGGAACCTCAATTAGGAGAGATGAGAGTGGGATGATGAGAAGCTTTGGTTGCCAGACTGATGGATTCAAGTACTTGGCAAAGAGTAGTAGCCTGCCAACGATCAGGAGGAATTTTGCAAGATTATCACTCACTCAAAGGAAACAACATAAAGTATTAGGGAGGGAGCAAGTCCCTTCTCTCAGAACCTTGAACTATTCTGCCCTCTAGTGCTAGTTTGCTTTTCTTTTGCTTTTCTCGGGAAAAACAAGACAGCTTATTGGACACAAAAACCAAAAACACCAGTCGCTAGATAGGCAAATGATGGATCCAGAAACTGCATAGATCCCTGTCACAGTTAAAGGATAAATGGGTTTTAAAGTTCAGATAGAACCTTGAGGGTGGGGGTGGGGGTGATTATAAGCATGGGTAATGTAAGCATGACTGTGATAAGAGAGGACACTTGCCTATGCAGCGCCCCCTCCCCCCCAGACTCTAACTCAGCCATCTGTATGCCTATCTCTCAGGATAATAGGTCCGATGAATGGGTTCTAAGTGTATTCGTGGATGCCAAATTGCTGAATGCTGAATCTGGAGCAGGCAACTGCACACCCTTGACCTTGTCTTTTCAGTAATGTGCATTTTAGTAGACACGCTCCATGTGAACAGAGTTGGGGGTTTGTTTCTGTGACAAAGTAAGATCCTTCTGTTTAAATGAAAGTGGCTCATTGCTACTTTTTTTTTATCCTATGTTTCTTAGTTGTCTCCAGTGAACATTCCCCCACCCCCTTTTTTTAGCCAGGCCATTACATGACACAATCTTTTTAGAAAAAAAAATATATATATATATAATTTCCCCCCATTGATTTCGGAAAAGAAGAGAGAGGTAGAAACATTAATGATGAGAGAGAATCATTGGCCGGCTGCCTCTTGCACTCCCGCTATTGGGGATAGAGCCCACAAACCTGGTTCATAGCTTGACACTCAACCACCAAGCTACACTAGCCAGGCAATACAATCTTGATTGAATCTCATTTCCACTAAGAGATGGGTTGCACAGCCACATGTATGGCTAAATATGGTATCTTGCTTAAGATTTGTTCCCGACACAAGCTAGTTTGATATTTGCTTTTCTTTTAAAGCAGAGGGTCAGTTTTAAAACAACGTTTTGTTTCCTCCTGGCTTCAGGTCTGGGTGGTTGCAGACGGAAAAAGCGCATCAGTAGGTCTTTGGAAAAACTGTAGCGGCGGTAACTGCGAGGGACTCCTGCCATATGGCGAGGACGGTATGTTAAGCTATTGTATTCGGTGCTGACCATTCATGTGATGGGGGAAATGGCCAGCCTGTCGAAAATTGGTTGGCCTGACACCCCTGCTCTCCTGCCCCTTGTCCACAGATGCACTCAAGGCAGTGCAGGCCTTCATGATCCTTTCCATCATCTTCTCCGTCATCTCCCTCGTGGTCTTCGTGTTCCAGCTCTTCACCATGGAGAAGGGAAACCGCTTCTTCCTCTCGGGGGCCACCATGCTGGTGTGCTGTGAGTATCTCAGGCGCAGACTCCAGTGTTGTCCAGGCAAAGCTTTTAAGTAGATCTTACCATGGGTGCTCCCCGCAACTTGAACAGATGAGCACATGGGTCTGGTTATTTGTCCTCTTTCTGAAAACCCCTGCTAGCTGCTTGGAACAAGAACCCTCGTCTGCTTCGTTGTTTAAGTCTAGTGCTTTGAGGCAGCCCCAGTGGCAGGCCACCCACCAGCAGCACTTGTGTACAAGACGCTTGAAGAGGGCCGACAGGTGGGAATCCTCGAAAGATAAAACCACTGCCACAATGCTCTCAATTATCGCCACTCTCCTCTTCCTGCATTCTTCCCACACACATCCAGTTTGGTGGCATGCTTGCATCCCGCGGTAGCCTGCCTACATGGGCTGGGTTGTGGACATAAGGTTCTGTGTTTCACGTCACACTTGCAGCCACAACCCAGTGTAGATGTGAGAGCCCAAGCAACTCTAATTTATTCACAGGACCACCAAACTCAGGTCAGGGCAGATCAACAGAACTACTGTTTGGGGCCAAACAGCCAGATTTCGTTTTCCCATTGCAGATGAAGAAAATAGGATCTTTTTAAAATTACAAAACCTGTTCTTGGTTTTAATGTAAAAGGAAGAAAGAAAGGAAGGAAGAAAGAAACCAAAATAACTTCTCCCCCTGTCCCCCGCAAAAAAAAAAAAAAAAAAAAAAAAAAAAAAAAAAAAAAAAAAAAAAACCACAAAAAAAAAAAAAAAACCCACAACAAAAAAACCCAAACACACACACACACACAAAACAAAACAAAATACCTCAACTTTCTTTTTTTTTCATCGCAGGGCTTTGCATTATGGTTGGGGTGTCCATCTACACTCATCATTATGCAAATGGTAATGGAAGTGGATTCAACCAAAGCCACCACGGCTATTGCTTCATCCTGACCTGGATCTGCTTCTGCTTTAGCTTCATCATTGGCATTCTCTACCTGGTCCTGAGAAAGAAATAAGGCTGAACAAGTGTATGGGGATCTGGGGTGGGGGGTGGGGAGGAGGGAGCTGTGGAATCTGGGAGGGAAGTGAAAGTTGCCCTGCAGGAAAAGCCAAGCCAGGGGAGGGGGGAGGGGGAGGGGGGAAATGAGGGTGGGAGAGGCTGAAACCCAAACCTTTACTCAGGAGGTTTTCTACTGTCAAGCCCCTGCCCTTGGGAGAAAGCAGTTGGCTAGAGCTTCCATGCTCCCTTGATGTGGGCCAGAGAGCCTCTCTCCAGCCACCAGTTCTCAGTTACACACAGTGTGTGTGTGGGGGTGGGGGGGGGTGGGGGGGTCGGGGAGCACCAGCTGACACACCACTGGCTCCGCTTCTGAGGGTGAATTCTGGGTCTTGCCCTGTGGTCCTCAGATCTTCTGCACCCAGTTAAAATAGCGGTACAAGTTCCAACAAGGGCAGATCTTGTTTTTGTACTGAGCAAGCTAGGCCTGGAAGCCCTCCTGCCCTCCTGACCCAAAGCAAAACATCACATTCGAGCCTGAAAGGCCCATAGGAGGGCTTCCTGTGGTCATCATCCCTCTTGAAAACAGGTATTTAGCTCTGTGCAATTCAGTGGTATTTGCGACAAAATGGCCGGAAGGGATATAGTCATGAAGCCAAGTTGGTGGGTTAGTTAAATCAAGAAAGAGAACTTTTCACAGTGGAAGGCCTGGGAGTGGGAAAGGGGGGTGTTCGAACTCAGACCAGCCCTCACACAACTGTCCCTCCTGGAGACTTCTTGCTATGGACCTTGCTAGACCTCTTGCTTAGAGCCAGGACAGCTCTTGTGGAGTTTCTGTAATGCCACGAATGAAAGCACCACACTAATTATGGGCTCCTGGGGCAGTCCTGCAACAATGCTATATTAGGGTTATGATTTTAGGATTCCCCCTCCCTGCAAGCGAAGATTCTTTTAAATATAGAATGGGAGAGACGGAACACACTCCTTGAAACACACTCTGTTACTCTCCCTTGAAATTATAAACTTTTCAGGATGTTTTATCTGATTATCAATGTTGGGGACCAGAGGCAACACTCTGGCTTTGACACTGGCTGGAGTGGTCAGCTTTCAGAAAGCCTGCCTATCCTGCTTCGTAGGTGAGGCAAGACAATTTTGGAAGCTTATTGAAACACACATACCCACAAACCAAAACCAAAAACAATAGGTCCTTGGGTGAAAGGTGCTATGTAATCAGAAAGTGTTAAGCCTCTTAGATTTAAGTCATGATAAGAACAGAGTGCCTGTGCTCCCAGGAAAATAAGAACATTTCTGTGAGAGAAGTAAAATCATAGGTGATGGGCAGGTATTTTTCTTTAAGGAAAACACACACACACAGATCTCTGGTGGTGCCCAGTCAGATGGTAATTGATCTGCCTGTTGCCACAGAGGTTTTCTATATAGGACTTAGAGGTAGTATGTTATTCCTGGGTAAGCAGGCACTGCTCTAGTCTGGAGCAGCTATTTTAAGCCATCTCAGATTCTGCCTAAAGGGTTTATTTTAGGAAGACGTTTCCGTGGTCACTCTGAGAAGATCTACCTTAGGGAGAATCTGAGACATCTTGCCTACTTTTCTTCTCCTAGCTCTCTCCTCATGTCATTTCTTATATACTTTTCCTTTTTGGGGGGAGTTGTTATGCAATGATTGCTAGTATTTATGTAAAAGGACTCTTATTAAGTATATTTCTCTATGTTCATTCTGGTTAAGGGGATGTTGAGGACAGACCACTGAATTATCTGGGCTGAAGGTAGCGAGGCTGGTAAGCAAAAACTATGGGATAATAAACTTTTTAATTATCATTTAATTATCACATGATTATAGAAGGCTGTATTATGTGCAGAAGCATACTTACATATCAGATATATTCAAAAGAGATAACTGCATGTTAAAAAGTCAGACTATGACTGGAGTGAACCATGTATTCCCATGTCTTTTACTTTGTTTCTGTGCCATTTATGTCTCATGTAACTGCATTACAGTGGTGGGTTGTTCTAGTACTGTATTTGGCTTCTTCTTTAATAGATTGATATTTCATATACTATAATTGTAAATATTTTGATACAAATGTTTATAACTCTAGGGATATAAAAATAAATTCTGATTCCCTTCACCGTGTGAATGTTTTCTTTTGAGAAAAAAATTTAGGAAAATATGGATAATAGTGACATTTATTCCTAATTAGGTTGTAAATCAGTTTGATTTGGACACCTTGGCATTTATTTGAGACATTAAGCTACTTTCTGCTAATACATTAGACATTTCTACAATAACTCTCAGGCAATTGAATGTTATTAAACCTCTTAAGCACAGAATGGAACTTCTTATACTAGTAAATTAGAGAGAGGTTGTGATCTTGAATCAGAATGGCTTACGACATCAAGAAATGAGATACTTGCAAAGTTTCTTGAAACAGCAAACTCATCTAGTGTGTCTTCAATATATGAAGCAATTCACAAAGGTATGCAACACATAAATTTGCAGGAGATCATTCATTGCATACATTGGTACATATTTGTGTAGGCACTTGGAGAAAAGAAGTTTTACTGCTTTCTATAAGCCATAGGATTGGAATCAGTGCTACAAAGTAGAGTAGATCCTATGTGTCCCAGCACCATGTCAAACCAGTATGAGAAAAATGGTTTTAATGTGGAGTCGGCAATCTTCCAGTCCCCTATGGTCTTGGATGAAATAACTTAACAGAGTAATACACAAAAAAATACATAAACGACCCTGAAAGTCAAACTTCAACATATTTTAAATTTAATTACTTAAATTGCATTAATTACTGATACCCTCTCAGAGACCTATATGATTTCTTAGGTTGCTTCCAGGATACCATTATAAGAGGCTACTCCTCTTGCTTGACTCTCTCAGGAATTCTTTTCCCCAAATCATATGTCCAGTCAAAGATCAGACCTCCAGAGAATCCCTTTCACCCTTATGCTTATAGGTCTTTAGTCATAATCTCCAATAACCTAGCTCTACCCAAATTACCTTTCTGCCAAGACAAAATTGTCCACCTTGAAGACCTAAATGGTAAATGAGGGTGTATTAATTGGGATTCTCCAGAGAAATAGAAGCAATAGAATGTGTGTGTGTGTGTGTGTGTGTGTGTGTGTGTGAAGAGATTTATTTATTTATTTATTTATTTATTTATTTATTTATTTATTATATTCACTCACATGATTATGGAGGCAGGCAAATCCAAAATCTGCAGTGGGGAGGGTACTGGCAGGCTAGAGATCCAGAGAAAAGTCTGCTGTCCAAAGGCTGTCTGCTGGCAGAATACCCCCTTATTTAGGGGAGGCCAGTCTTTTGTCTTATTTATGCTTTCAATTGATTCAATGATGCCCAACACAGTAGTGGGGCAGGGGGAAAGGGGAGACATGTTTTACTCAAAGTCCCAATGATTTAAATGTTAATATTATCTAAAACCTCCTCATAGAAACATCCAGAAGAACATTTGACCATGTATTTGAGCACCATGGCCCAGCTAAATAGACACATCAAATTAACCATCACAGGGGGGAACATCTTTATCAACGATAAGACACTGGCTTACTGAACATTTTCAGAGATGACTCAAAAGAAGCCCAGACAGTGTTTACAGTTGACACTTAGCTCTCTTCAGTGGTGACATTGTAACATGGGGGTCAACTTTCAAGGTGATCCTAGATATACTGTGAAAACACAGAAAATTGCCAGTTCTTTTCTATAGGAGCTTAATAACTACTTGTTGAATTAAATGTCTTAGGAAGAATAAAATTGAATTGAATATTAAAGTATTAAATTGAGTATTAACTAAATGCTCTTAGTTTGTTAATCCTTACCTGTGGATATTTTTCCCCCACTGATTTTTAGAGAGAGTGGAAAGGAGAGGGAGAGACAGAGAAAAACATTGATGTGAGAGAGATACAACAATTTGTTGCCTCCCACATCCACCCCAACCAGAGCCAGGGATCGAACCCAGGACCCTTCAATCCACAGGCTGATGTTTTTTTCCACTGAGCCAAACTGGTAGGCCAATTAAATATTCTTAGAAGAAATTGCTCTAAATTATGAGTATCAGGAAGATGAGCTATAAAGCTCTCAGTTACCACTCAAGAATATGACTGCTAGGCAAATGTCAACTTATTTATTCATCAAAGTGATAAACTTGAGGTACTAAATGGTCAATAGACAGCTATACCACTGTGCTTTGGACTCAGCCATTACAGTCCCTGTGCAAAATTCTACTGACTTTCAGTTACAGAAAAAAATATTTCAGAAAGGCCTTGAAAGAAAGCATATCACCAAGTAGATATTGTACAGGACTCCACACCTAAACAAAAAGAGAAGCCATCTTTTATTTGAGTAAGAAATGGCCAGAATATACCAAAATTCAGATAAAATGTTCCAATAAAAAGTGGGTAAATGAGTTGAAAAGAAGGGTGTATTATAGAGGGGAATTAGGTCAGAGGGTGGGCTGTAAGATAAAAAGAAGAGAACTCACTGGAAATTTTGAAGTAGATCTTGAGGAGGAGTGATTCATTTTAAAAGACGTGTTTGTAGTCCAGAAAGGCAGGCAGCTTCAGAGCACTCAGGAAATAGGAAAGGCTCCACGCTGATTATGTGGAACCCAAGGAGAGGAGTGTTTGGAGTCCCACATGACCTCACTTCTTCTTCTTTTTTTTTTTTTTTTAATATATTTTATTGATTTTTGTACAGAGAGAAAGGGAGAGAGATAGAGAGTTAGAAACATCTATGAGAGAGAGTCATCAATCAGCTGCCTTTTGCACACCTCCTACTGGGGATATGCCCACAACCAAGGTACATGCCCTTGACTGGAATCGAACCCGGGACCCTTCAGTCCCCAAGCCTACGCTCTATCCATTGAGCCAAACCGGTCCCAGCAATGACCTCACTTCTGTAAGGAGACATGTGGGGCCTACTCATGGAGCTGAGGGTGACTATTAAAACATGTACAGTGCTGGGTGCTAGAT